GATACCCCGGCTACAGATACAGATACATTTTCCGATACAGATTCAGATACTTAGGCAGCGGCAGTATGGCTGCTGTCAGGCAAATAAACAAACGGGCCAAGAAGCTGCCGAGTGCCAACAGTTGCGATTCGACTTGGGACTGCCAGCTTCAATTGTGATTGAAGCCGCAATATAATGGGGAAAATTTGATGTGGAGCTCGATTTGGGGGCTGAATTTGTGGAGGAACGGCCGCCACTTAGGCACAAAGCAATCAAATCAGATGAGCGGGATGAAATTTTAATTTAATGAATGAATGCGGATCTCTTGTATTAGTTGATTAGCCGCAAAGCCAATTCAAATCTGCACGTCCTGGAAAACTCCGCGGTGAACTCCACAAAAAGGGGGCCAAGTATTCTGAGTTTTCAATTATAAGCCTTGCTTGAGGTGGTCCCAGGGCCAAAAAGTTTAAATTCCGTGTGCGGCTGACAATGTCATTCATCATAACACATTTAGCCGTGAGCTTATTAGATTCCACTTTTGTGCCCAGGCTTGCTCGCTTTTCCTTTCTTTCTTTTCAGTTCAGTTCAGTTCAGTTCCATTCTGTTCTGTTTTCTTTTTTATTGAAACACAAAACAACTTTCCCAGCCGCACATACGAGGCCAGCATCCGTAACAAGTTGGCCAACACACACTCACACACACGCACCCATTCAGAAGGGCGTACATATGTCACGAGTAAAAACAATTTATCATTTAGCTTATCAAGACGCGCGGCCTAACGTCCATTATTTTGCGGACGCTACGCAGAGAATTGTTTTTTGATGATAGCCCCCAGTTGTAGTTATCCTCCTTCTTTTTTGTTTTTTGGGTGGTTCTTAGGTAAGCAACACGAAAATATATGGCAAATGTCTGGGAAATGATTATTGTTCTGCCCGCATGTGATTTACAATCTATCATAGCCATTGGGAATTTCGAATTACACAGAGTTATGAATGGGTTCTAATCAAAGCAGATGGTCCATTGAATGCGTTCCAGATCTTAACATTAAAACGGAACCGAAATAGAATTGCCAAAGGCGAACTGAACTTAAGGTTAATTGCAGATTATATTTCTTAATCTCCTTCTTCCCATTCCATGGCGAAAGTTATTTATACATATTTCGGGTTAATTGTATACATTCTAAAAGCTTTTATCTCACAACACATGAAATTTATCCTTTTTAATGGGATTTCTATCTTTCCCAAGACAGACAATTACGGCGAACAAATAACTGGAATGAATGTACCTTCGAAGGGGCTGTTTTCAAGAGTTGGGCGGGCGTGGCCGCACGACCAGCTCACGTGTAACTAAAAACCAACAATTATGCATGCCAGACCGCAGAAACCGATGCCACGCCCACAGCCAACAGCCCACAGCCCACAGCCCACATCCTACATCCCAGAGCCCTCGCGACGTCAACATAGCGGCGACAGCGACAACGGAATCGGAATTTGCATAACTTTGTATGAGATTCTTGCAGCGCAGCCATGTCGAGCCACAATATCATTTATACATGCATGCAGCCCACAATCATGTGCACTGAAAAAAAGTTTCTCTTCTCCTGATGGGCAAGGATCTATGCTGATTGGCTTGTGCCCCTAGAACTACAGCAGATAATGGCAAATATCAAGATATTTGCACTAATTTGAAATAGGCATAAAATACACATCAAAGAGAGCTTATATCAATGTTTAATACTCGGCTCTGTAAAAAAATATAATACAAAATGTGTTTCTTAAAGAAACACAACAAAAAGAGCACAGATTAATGTTTTAATACTCGCCTCTGTAAACAAATGTTATACAAAACGTGTTTCTTAAAGAAACCCATAATTAAATAAATAATTTTCTAAGTTTTAAGGTGGATTGAGGTATTTACCGCCTCATTCAGTGAAAACTCACTTGATTAGGATATGTCAGTGCATTATTTTTCCCAGTGCACGCATGGCACAGGGCACGTATACACTGGCAGACAATGTCAGTGAGCCGTCAACATTTCAACTTGTCATGCGAGCGGGAAAAGCGTGGAAAAGAGCGGCGTGGGGGCACAGGTGATGGGGGGCGGGGGCAGGGGCAGGGGCAGCGGAGCGTGCTGCAAAGTCGAAGACGTTGCCCCGGGCTGTAACATGGCCTACCTTCAATTTGTCCGTGTGCCCGCCGCCATCCGATAACCACCATCAACCGCCACGTGGATGTGGGATTGGCGGGCAAAAATCAAGCCAACCGCACAGCTCCGGCTTTTGTTGCATACTTTGCTGCGTTGCCGGCAACGTATTATTTCAGTTACGTTTTGCGGAAATGCAACTGAAAACTTGCAATTTGTTTGACGTTTCGGTATTTTTTCGTATGAATTTATAATGCCCTAGACTTCAACACCTGTCGTTTGCCGTTCATTCGTTCGTTCGCTCGCTCGTTCGGTTGTTTGTTTGTTCTATGTTTGTTTGGCTGTTTGGTTTGCCAGAGTTTTGCTTTCTGGTTGCTGCTGATTTACCATGCAGGCGATCCTGCTACGTTTTGCCCTGTGGTTTATTGATATATCAGCGGCATCGTGATTAGGCGAAAAGTCAGGAAATATACAAGTCCACCTACGTTGCCGTGAATGTGTGTACACACATGCGTATTTATGTTATGCCGCCGCAGTAACACACAAAAGGTAGCAACTTTTAATTGAAAAACTTGGGCACTTACAAGTTGCAAGGAAGCGGCGGTGTATCCCCCTCGGTTCACCTCACATTTCCCCATGCCCCCTTGCCACCATACTAGCAGTGGCAGGCGTAGCTGGCGTGGGCGTGGCACTGTGGCAAGTGGCAATACTGGCATTGTCGCCGGCATTACTCAAGTTGTTAGCAATGTTTACAAACACAATAAGCAAATACGCCAGCGACGGTGGCGCCACCAACAAGTGCACGGTGATAAAAATTTAAAAAAAAAAAATCGAAAGTAACCCTCTAAGTTTAAATTAATTATTTAAATATGATTACTTGGCTTGCTTTTCAGCTGGCGAGTTTTCAGCCGATTGAGTAGTATGCAATCTTAAGCCCCACGCTTTTCCACATCTTTATGTACAATTTCCTTTCAGCTGCCCTCTGTTTTTGCCAGTGCTTCTATTTCCTGTTAGTGAAGAGGTTTAGTTGACTTAAAGACGGCAGCGTCAACACGAGTCCTGCTTACATAGAAAGTTTTCCCGCTCTTGGTTTTAGTTTCCCTCGGCCGACTGATAGTTAAACAGCGCTAAGCAAAGTCTGGTTGGGAAACGTGCGATAACTTTTCCATTTTGCTGCTGCGTAAATATTTGCCACCTCGGCAATCGGCATTTGCCACCTGGAAAAGATGCAGGTGCACTGGCCATGACAGCATTTAGCCACCTTCCTCTAATTAAACTAGCCAGGATCATCGCAATAAAACAATGAAATCAAACTGCTAAAATGCTTAACTTTTAATTAGCAATCGAGCTGTGGAGCAGCGGCGCCCCAATTCATAATTAAAATTATGATTTGGCTTTTTGGGAACTAATCTATTTTGGGCGAATTGTAATTGGCAGACGGCAAATTTCATATGCAAATTGTATTAGGTATCAGGGGATACTAGGTGCGTTACCCGCTGGCCCACAATGACCCATTCAGGGGCGGCCAGCTAACCACGTGATTATCGAGGGGCTTATGGGTCGGCGGGGGGCATTTGCAGCTCCAGCTGCTGAAACAATTCACTTGCATAAGCCAGCGTCTGGAAACGCACCCAACGCCCCCAAAAGCCACATGGAGCAGGTTTTCGCATCGGGATATAGCGTGGGTATATCATGCAAGCCATAAGCCTATTAATAGCCCCTGTCTGCGATCAGACAAGCAATTAAAATTGACTGCACTTTTGAGCGGATGCCCTCCAGCCGCATGGACCGCCTTCGTCCTGCGTCTCCCTTCAGCCACTTCCCGCACCATCGTCATACCGGAAAATTGTTCAATTGGGCGTAAATGTGTCGGCGTCATCGCCACGTGCACGTGCTCCTGTTACTTTTCCAGGATGGCCAACTGGCCATTATTTAGGACCAGGCCGGCGCGTCTGCAAGGCATAAATTTTTCCCAGCCAGTGTCTTGTAATGTGGGCCAATGTGTGGCAGATTGTTGTTGTCAACGTGGCAGGACACGCCGTGATTTGTTGTTCTGCAATATGAGAACGGAAGTGTCGTCACATCAAGTATACGCTAGGTGTGCACGCTTTGCAATGCAGTGAAATATGCGTTTGTCTGCCCCATTTAATCAAAAACCAATTATGTTGCGTTTATGTGTATAGCAAAGTCATTCAAAACGTTCAGTTTTGCGTTTGCAATTTCAATTTCAAAAATCATATTGAAGCTTTAGAAGTTTGCCCTGATTGTAAAAGCTTTTCCTATGCAGAAACCAAGTCTAGGCACCAATTGTAAACTGGTTAATTAGAACTTTTAGTCCTTGCTAGACTTGAATAATATGAAGTCATTTTATATGGTTAATTAACAAAAAGAAATACAATAACTGCAACCTGTGTCCATGTCAAAATTGTATTGCATCACCTATGGGCTTTAATATGCCTTATTATAAATTTAAGTGAGTATAAAAATCATATAAATAAACAAACACGGAGTTACTGGTTCATCGTGAACTGTTTATGGCAGCACTATTGAACTTTTATCCTTCTATTCAGCGGAGCTTTTCCAAAGTTTACTTTTAACAAAGAGCTTTAGAGCTTAAAGGATGTTTCCGTTGCCATGTTAAAGAAGCTTTCACCCAAACTTCCAACCAAAATTGTGGTCTATGTTTTAAATTTTATTTAATCGTAATTCAATTGTTTACAATATATATAACATGTAAATAAATAATGCAAATCCAAAGCATTTAAAAGTTAGCTTTCATGGTTAGTCGAAAATCAATATAACTTTGGAGAACAATCGCCCGACTTTCGGGTACTATTCTTAGTTCAATTTATATTTATATTTGTGCACTTTGGCCCAACGCGAATTTTGTAAATATTTGCACTTAGTTTTTGGTTTTACATTAACGATAATTGCCTAAAATATGTATGCTTGAATTTTTAATAACTTTTTAGGTAATACCTTTTTATATTAGCGTTTATTTCATTGGTATAGCTAGAATAATCATTTGGTCTTGGTTTCATTTGGCGATGAAACGCATATGTTTTTACTTCCATTATTGATAATACTTTATAAATGTTAAACTCGCGAAAATTGTTGCCGTTGCTTAGGTTAGATTGAAACTCGAATTTTCTAAACTTACGGAGCTGTTCTCGATTAGATATCCGCCCTAAGGGACCAAAAACCGAGCCGAGAACAGATCTGATAAATTCGGTTTAACGCTAGAAGTGTGTTTGCTATTAGTTTGTCATTTTGCAATATAGTTAACCATAGTTGGGCTTAGATTCGCGTAGATCGGTGTACAAGTGTTACAGTAGAGTTAGTTGGTATCAAGTTTGGTCAAGATTCCTTTCAATAGTATTGAGTCGGTGTGATTTTGTTCCAGTTTTGGCTGATATGCAATCTTTCGAAAGTTGATAGTTGAGTTGAGTATGTGTCGAAACAGAACGACCTACTAACTGGCAAATTTTTAAATTGGTATCTTCAACAATAAACGATAACATTAAATTAGTTCATAATAAATTCATGTAAATTCAATTGGCTAATTCTATAAATTAAATTTGAATAACAATTACGATTCCCGCAATTCCGAATACGTTTTAACATTATTGTCCTCTGCGTTTTGGTTTCATTTTGTGTGTGCGTCAAGTAAATGTGCAATTACAACGATCAGAAATTACAAACGCAATTAAAATGCGAAATTGTATGCAAAAATGAAGTGGAAAAACTGAGCAGCAAGTGCGTAGGATTATTCAGTTTGGACAATTGGGCAAGCAGAGGTGAGGGGCAGTCAATGCAAGTATCCCTTTCAGATTTTAATTATGCAATAAAATACAATTGGCGCGGCTTTTGCCTTTTGTCCGTTGATGGCGAGAAAGTGCTAAATGCATAATTAATAAATAGTATCAACTTGCCACTACCTGACTAATCGAGTATTTACACTATAATATCGAAATCACCCAATCGCTGCGTTTATAATTAGTTTCTGCTCCATCTATCGGCCATTTCGCCTGATGTCCCTGATGGATCCGCTCATCACTACTATCACACTGCCCAGGTTTTCTACATCAGGGCGCAGCGGTTCCAACGCGAAGGACTCCTCACACCCTCGCCCTCATTCAGCGCCATCGTCTTGGATCTCATCAGATTGAGATCGGTGCGGATGCTGGGTCTCCTGGCATTCGGGGTCACCACCCCGCAGGCATCGCTGAATCTTCTCTTGATGGACAGGGCGTTCTTTTTGGTCCCGCCCACCGCAGATCCATGTGGTGGGAGTGGCGATGGCGCCCCAAAGACGGACACCAATCGACGATGGTGATTGGGGGTCATCTCCAGCGGCAGATTGGAGACCGTGAACAGCGAGTGGAAGAGGTCATCGATGCGGTAGTTCTGACGAGCCGAGCACTCCACAAAGGTGCAGCAGTTGTCCTGGCCAGCGATGTAGCCCATCACCTCGTCCACCTGCACAGTTCTGGGGGAGAAGTGTTCATTGGAATGTGTTTGCATCAATCACTTCCAAAGTGATTTCACAGAAATCTAAATTATCAAGTTATGCGGAGCAACCATGACATTTAAATTTGATTTCTGCCTCACTTCAAAGTCCAAGTGTGATGTACTCACTTAAAGTCCCGATCACATTTATTTCCCGCCAATATCATGGGTATCTTTGGAAGACTCTTCTTCTTGAACCCGGAGCCGGGATTTAGTGCAGCCCACTTGGTCTCCAGGATGTTCTCCCGCAGGCGCACCACCTCCTCGAAGGACTCGCGGGAATCCATGCTGAAAACGAGGATGAAGAGATCCCCTGCAATAAAAGGAAAGGAACATTAATCGTCGTTTGATTTAGCAAATGCAAATTTATTGCTTATTTATGGCCCCGCATCTATGACCTACGAACTCGCAATTTTCCAGACACTATATAAAACGATACTGACATCTGAAGCTCATCTCCCCTATGTTAATGTGTTTCGTACGGTGTGTGAGTTCTGGGTTATTTAGGGTAATTCGGATACCCGAATATTGGGAATGGGAAAATCAATAGACGCATACCACTCAGACATGAATACCCTACTTACTGGGTGCCATTCAAAGATATTTTTATGGGCAGGATGTACTTTGTGGGCGGGCGTGACTGGACGAAAAAGAATTAGATTCATTATGTTCAGGATATTCGTAGAAATATTGTGGTGGGGGTCGTAACGGGTCCTAAGTCCAGTAATAAGCTTGAAATTATTAACAATTTGGAGTAGTAACCTTATCTATTAGTGCCCCATAAAACTATTACACTAAATTATGCACAACTAACAACTTTTAATTTATGTAAAGCTAGTTTTTAGGTCCTTGAACATAATCGCAGGTCCATTTATCACAGTTTAAATACAAGTGACACCCTTTATGTCCAAAGGAAGTTACCAAAACTTTACCCATGCCATTGATGTCGCCGGAAAGGGTATAGAACCCAACTTTGTTTACCAGCAGCTGAGCCTGATTTTTATGATAATTTATAGGACATTAAATGGCACCCAATGAAGGCAGTCGACAACTTAAGTGATAGAACGTGCGTTGCCGGCGCTCGTCGAATATCCCTTGGAATGCCGCACACACATGCAACTATTTGATGGCCAAGACGTCACACTCACCAGTTAGAAATGATAAACGGCGCATTGCGGGAAACGGATGATAGCCAGAAGTATCCAAAATATCCAGTTGAAAGACCTCATTCCGTATGCGATACAATTTGCGGTGGAACTCCTCGATGGTCGGCGTGTAGGCCTCCTCGAATCGATTGCCCAGGAAACGTGCCACAATCGATGACTTGCCGGCTCGTGATGAGCTGCATGGGAAGGAAAATTGCAAATCGAGATTGGCTTTTCAAATTGACGCCGTCCTGTCCACTCATCGAATGCAAGAAACGCCAATGAAAGCTCAAAATTAGCTCGAATGGGCGTCATGCATTCGATGAATAATACAGTGCGAGAAGTTTACAAGACTACAAAGCATCAAGGATTAAATAGTAACATTGAATACATTGGCTAATCCTTTGTTTTTAAAATGCAGCGCAATATTATGTTGAATTGAAAACACTCGACTTTCCAAGAGTACGCCATAAAGATAACACTATTAGCTTTTAAGACCTTCTACTCAATATTATCCAGTTGGAGCAAGCAAACATCACTGTTTTCAGTGCCCGTCCACGGGGCGTATACGTACCCGAGCATGACCAGTCGATAGCAGTTTTTGGCCGACGGCAGGCTGTCGTCGCAGAGCGAAAGTCCTGCGCCAGGACCGTAGATGAAGTCGTCCGCCTGCTCGATGGCGTCCAGGTTCGAGTGGTGCTCCAGCATGTGGGCCTGGTGCAGTTCGGCGGTGGTGACCAGGCGGCTGCTGGTCACGGCACCGTTGCTTCCGCCGCCAGTGGACTCGTCCAGGAAGGTAACCACGTGGGCCTGTGGTGGCGAAGCCTCATCGGTCGTGTGGGTGGTGCTGGGGTGGTGTGGGTGTGGGTGTGTGGGAGGGTGGGCGGCTTGGGTGGTGGCGCCTCTTTGTGCCGCTGTTTGCTGATTACTTTTGCTGCTGTTGCTTCGCACGTTATTGTTGTTGCTGGCGCTGAAGTTGCGGCTGTTCGGTGTGGCTGTTGTTGTTGTTGTTGTTGTTGCTGCAGTGGAATGGATGGGTGGCGCCTCGCTTAGTGCCACATCGACGTAGTTGTTGTTGTTGCTGCGCGCACAAAACCAATTTTTGCAGCGATACATTTTGACTCTGTCATTTCCGCCACTTTAACTGGTTGTCGTCGGCACCACCGGTTGGTTAATTTGTGGTGTTGATGCACCGCGATCGCACTTGTTGTTCTCGTTGCTGCTGTTGTAGTTTCGTAGCCCAGCAGTTGCGGTTGCAATTTGCATTTTCAATCATTCAACTTTGTAGTTAACAAGCTGATATTTGCATATGTACCTAGTGCCGCCCTAATGGTATAAACTTTATCCCGAACGAAATGCATTAGACGCGCTGCCTTCGCTGCCTTCGCTTCCTTCAAGCTGCAAAAAGAGATGTAAAATGCATTCAGCTCGTGAATGTAAAAAAAGTTACGCCATCTACTCAAAAGAACCGGCAAGAAAAAGTCGAGTTTACGCGGTGGTGGTGGTGGTGTTGGTGGTAGCAAACATTTTGGAGGCCATTAAGCACGGTAATTGCCCCGTGGCCCATCCAGACGAATAAGCCACAGAAAAACCAATGAAAAGGCAAGAGGAAAATGCAAGAGGAAAATGCAAGAGGAAAATGTAAGTGGAAAATGAATCCTCGACTACCACATACCCGTCACCCGAAATCAGGTTATCTGCAGTTGGGCAAAGTTGCCTAAATCCGATTGTTAGCAAAATAACTTTACATTTCTACCACTTTGTTGCTGCAACGTTGTTTGGGGAAATAAAGTGAACTTTGAAATTTTGAATACCTTAAGCCTGATAACTTCTAACTACATGAGCCGTCTTAAAAGTGTGGATGCTCGGAATAGGTTTGCAAACTAAAATCGTTGGTAAACAAAGCTTAAGGTGATTCTGAATGGTTTTTCATATTTCACAGTCTTGAAGTGAATTGTTTGCCAAAGTGTACTGAATTTGTGGTTTTGGTTTCCACTATTTTAATCCTAACTGGAAATGCTAATCGGCTTAGGAAATGATCGAATTCACAAATTTAAATTGAGTCAACCCTTCTAAAATAACATAAGCGCTTCGGATGTTTCCAAAGCAAATTGTTATTTCTAATAAAAAATGCATTTCTCTGACCAAAACAAAAAACAACACTAGAATATCTATGAATATCATAGAAATACCATAGAATATGCGGACTTGGTTATAAGCTGTTCGGGATGAGTAGTGCAAAGAGCACCGAATTTGCCGCAGATTGATGTAGAAATTGGCTAACCGCCAAGCTCTTCAAAACCAATGAAAAGGAAATTCTGAAAAACCAGCTACACTCCTTACATTAAAAGGACTATTGCCCGCCACCCCCCTCCTCATTTAAGCCATAATGGGCATCTTGCCGCAAATCTAATTAACTTTGTTTTAGCATGCTACGTGCCCCGTGTACATCAGCCGGAATGGCCACATTGGCTCAACTCATGCATATCGCATGCAACAGCGGCGGCAGCAGAAGGACGAGGTGGTCAAGCTGGGCGGAAAGCGGAAGTGGGTGGCAAAATCAGACCGGAAAGAGCCGTTACCGTCACCGCGCAACGGCAGCTTGGCGCCCACCATAATCGAGTGCACCAAGTGCTCTCCGAGTGCTCGTACTCGCGCTCAGATTTCAGCTCATTTTCATTTTCATTTTCATTTTCCTTTCCCGTTTTCGTGCATTTTCCGCTGGCGGAGAAAAACCCGGAGGACGAGAACTTAAATGCCAGCTCACAAAAACGAACTGGAGTGGAAAATTTGCAAGAAAAGAATTCACCGCACATTATTTCACATGCATGGCGACACCCCCATGAAACCCAAAACCCCCCAAACCCCAAACCCAAACCCTAAAAGCCAGCCCAATCCGAACCGTATAAAGGCCATTTAGCCCAACTACGGGTAATTTTTCCATAATTGATTTTGGCTTGCGGTCTGGCTCGTCCTTTCATCCGGCCATGTGTTAGTGGAGGCAGGACACCCTCACGCACTCCCACTCATACAAATGACTTTTTGCCTTGGCCGTTCGAGAGAAAAACATACCGAAATGGGAAACGGAAACGCCTTGAGACAATGGTGACATTGGCGAGGCAATGTGGAAATGGCTGCTGTACACAAAAACTGAAAGAATAATCAACTAAGTGACGGAGCAGTTCTTTTATTTGCCGAGCACCTGTGCACGATGTGTTCAGAGGCGTCCCCAAAGAGGGGCGCTAGTTTGGGCCAATTTTCAAGCTTATTTTTGCATACTCCGCAAAAAGTTTAACTATTTATTAACAGAAAGGAATAGGAATTTAAATAAATTAAAAGCAAAGCCAAATGAACAACATTAAAGCCATCTGCTGTGCTTTAGCCGTTTATCGCCTTTGAAATGTTTATTGATTTGTTTGGTATTTCCGCAATACATGGAATTCTTTTCTATTTCAACTTTCCACAGCAGTTTGTAAAAATTGCTTGAGTGCCAGAAGTCCAAGAACGCATCGCGTGATTGGAAGGTGTCAATAACTTTGCGCTCAGCTCATCTCAATGGAAAGTTTTCGATAACAGAGGGAAAGACAGCAAAATCTTAGCTGCCACTTGAAAGCAAACAAACTTGATCGTAGATATTTTAGAAAAATAATATAATAAATGGGGAGTAAACAGAGATTTTGAGTATTTTAGCATGCATTGCACGGGTACACCCACACTTTGCTGTTGACAGATTTCGATGGTCGTGAAGTAAGTTTGCGTATGAAGAAGTGCCACTTCAGGAGGCATCGAGCACGTCCTGTTCACACCCCTTTTTCGAAGGATGCCGCTCCTTCCATTGGCTCCTGGTGCCACAAACGGCTGCTGTTGTCTGCTGCCCCCACTTTCGCTCCAATTTCGCCGCAAGAGTCTCAACAATTTCTCATATTTGTTTACAATTCGCGCATACAAATGCGCAAGGTTATCAGCCAAACCAGCCACCCACCTTGCCTCCCATCTGGCAAATATCGCCACCCATTTCCCATTTCAGTGGACGCCTGCCATAAGTTGTCATGTCGCAAATGGAAGCGGAGTGTCATCGACACCCAATCCGAGAATACACCGGAAGAAATCAGAAGAATAAAAGCAATAGTAAATGGCAATAAACCAAACTTTAAATGAAATGCAGATGCCACATTTTTGATCATTTTCAGCTGTGCTAATATGTTCATTCAACCAAGTAATGAAAACACTTTCTAAAATAATTTCGATCAAATTAATTTGAGTAATGTTAGAAAAATATATGCTGCCGAATACAAGAGTTTATAAAATAAACAAACTACTGCTTGCAGTTTAAATTCGTGCCATTTTTGCGAATGAAACCACATGCAATTTAGACTTTGTTGATGTGTACAACTGCTGATGCTCGCGAAATCGAGGAAAATCGCCATGGTGAGCGCCACTTGAATGCGAGAGAAAAATCACCAAAATGCCGGGGGGATGGCAAACAAAAGCTGGAACAGATTAGCTGGTCGGGAAAAAACGCAGAGAATGTAGAAACCGCAAACAGCGGGCATCAATTACGCCGACAACATTGAGCGATAATCGAGGGGAGGTTATCTCGAGCAGCACCTGTAACCTGGTAGCATGTATAAATGCCACAGTGTTCCAGCCAGTCACTTGGTTCAGTCGCTTTGCGATAGTCGAGGGAGAAGCCAGCTGGCCATGGAACCGACCAGCAGCAGCAGTGTGGCGGAACTGGCCCAGAACAGCGGGGATGTGGAACTGGATGAGGATAAGCTGGCGGAGCATCAGGAATACGCCGAAGCGCTGTCAATGAGCGGGGAGAGTCGGAAGCGGAAACGATGGACTCGAAGGTCCTGCTGCACTCGTCAAATCCTGAGTGCGGGCGCCATTTTCATCGCACTGCTGCTCATCATCGGCGCCATTTACATGCACTTAAGACAGAAGCATCATCTGGGCCGACTGCACATCATTCTGAAGGATCGGGACCGAGTGGAGGTCCTGGATGAGAACTTTCCCGTGGCCACCGCGGCGGCAGTGGGTGAGTGCGCCGCAAGGACCCTTGTTCAATCGCTAAGCAGCGCTTGGTACTCGGTTAGTTTTATAAGCGGTCTACATTGTTGGGATGGTGGTTTTCTGTGTCTTCTCTGTTTCTTTCTTTCCCAGCTGACTGATAAGAATTGCCATAGGATGAGCCAGCAGATGTCAGCGTTTCGAAATTATAGCGATTATAAATGAAAGCTTCTATTCATTACACAACAACTATTCAATGCGTGAGTTGTTTTTATTATGGTCATACATATTTTATGCCACTTTTAATCAGTCATTTCAAATAGTGACAGTCATTGAAAGTACGCCAAGCACTCAAATGTTTGAAATTAAACTGTTCAATATAAATACACAGCTGCTAGTGATTGCTAGCTTGAAATATAGATTTATAGTTTCTGCACTCGCCTCAAGTTCGACTTGGAAACTTTAGTTGGAAACAATTATTTTGCCAACGGAAGACTTGTATGTCTTAAATAACAGCAAGTTTATGGACACCAAATGTGAACTCAATTTAAGTTTGGTTTAGCAACGCTCTCTGCACTTATAGGGCCAAAATATAGTCAGAACTGTGTCTTACATCAATTTAAAGTTCATAAAAGTGCAATTTAAAGTTGCTTCTGCAAATCTGTTAATAAAACATACTCCAAAACTTCGCAACTTGCGACTAGTATGCGGCTAAAACGTGAGGTCTGGGAGCATTTACATCCTAGGGAACTATGGAAAACTCCCAGCCAACTATGCTGCATGCTGTTAGCCATATTGTGTGGTAAATAGTTTCGATTAAACGGCTAATTGGGCCCTCTTTGGAATGCATTTTGCAGCTGCCCAGACCCCGACGATAACAACATTCCAGCCGCCTCCATCCTCCACATCCTGCCCAGAGCCCAGTGCCAAGTGCCTGGCCTGCATGGCCACCACTGCCACGGATAATATTCCGGCAATCTGCAGGAACCGAGGACGACCGGAGGAGCCGTGCGGCATTTATCGCATCTCCCACGTCTACTGGCAGGACGCACTGCAGATAATTGACCCGGACGACTCACTCGCCCAGGGTAATGAATACACTGGGGCAAAACGTGGTGCAACAGAATCACAACAATTCGAAAGCATAAGCCATTTGCAAGTACCAAAGCCATTTTAGTCTCACTTTTCCTGCTCTTTATGCAGCTTGTATCTAAACTTCATGGCGCACTTTTGAATTTTCAAGATTTTGTTGTACCATTTGTTCATGTGTAGCCTGTTGTTGTCGGGCTGCCACAGCGTGTAATGTCCACCGACTAACCCATTTCCTACCTCTGACCTCGCACCCTTCACCCTTTACCATTCACCCTTTACCCCACAGACTACGGAAGATGCGTGGTGGATGACCAGTGCGCCGAGCGCATTGTGCGGAGCTACGTGCAGCGATATGGTGGCAAGGATTGCAGTGGAGACGGACGGATCGAGTGTCAGGATCATGTGCGGCTGCACATGCGAGGCCCGGGCGGCTGCCACAGGCAGGAGCCTCTGGGGAGCCTGGCTGAGCGGAGATTGGAAAAGTGCTTGAAATACAGTGGGATTACTTAGAACCGATTGCTCGTTTATTGTTTCAACTGCAGGCGACGCATTATGGGCCGCCAGTAGAGGGTTAGCACAAAGAGACCTATGAACTCGTGGAACAGCAGCAGGGCGGCCAACTTGTCATCGAACAACTTGGTCGAGGCCCTTCTTCCGCCCATGATGCACTGCACATGATACATCAGGAACTGCAAGTGATTTGTGGTTATGCTGCCGCCAGTTGCAGGCAAAATTCTTACCATCATCACCACACAGCCGATACAGCATGCGAATATATAAAATCCCCAGATCACGTCGAGAACCGCATACAACACCAACGCGTATATGCTCAGTATGTAAGTGCCAGTAGATAGGGCATATAGATACAGTCCGGTGCCTGTGAGGTCATACTGCGGCAGGACATAAATGTTTATTTTCGAATATGCTCATTGTATACCAGCTTACCGCCATTAAAGCCGCAATAAGTGTGCATAGCACAAATGCCAGGGCGACTATCAGAAATCCGGCCAGCATATAAAGTACGCCCGATGATACGATCAGCACACCGAGTGAAACCACCACGCATTCCACCTTGATATGATATGGGTTTACATGGTTAGGTAGTTCAAGTGCTAGGATACCCACGATAATAGACGTAATCAGCCAGTTGACACAGGACAATTTCCTCAGCGGCTTGCTGATGGCGAACAGGAACAGCAGGAAAATGCCAAATACAAAAGCTAGGAGCAGGGCAGATGAGTGCTCTTTTACCAAGTCCCGAAACCATTCCCTAGTAATATTACCACTCATGAAATCTGCACTTAGTTACCCAAAAATCTTACTGCAGCAAGGTTAGCATGAGGATCCAGTGCACAAATCCAATGGCGACGAAAAGGCAGAACTCCAGGATAACCCTTATGATATATCTTCGCCTCTCATCCACCGATTCCGTGTGGAAAAACGGCCAGATGGTGATATCTGCCTCGAACATGGCAGAAAAATGAGTTTGATTATGGGCGCCAGGCCGTCTAAGGCAGAGTTGCTCTGAGTTTCCTATGAAAAATTCACAACATTCCGGGCACGGGCGCTAATTGCACAGCGAAATAAGCCGTCCGGAGTAAAAAGTTGATGGCAGCGAATTAGAACCAACAATGACGACGATTCGGTGTACATAATTGAACTCGACAAAAGTTTATAATCTGGCAGCATCGCGAACAAATTGAACAACAACTCGCAAGTGTGTAATAATTAAAAGTTGGCGCAAAATGTAGCGGACAAACAAGCAGAAAGTTTTGGCGCAAGTTTTAAATCATTTAGCAGAACCGGACTAATTGCTGCCATGTCGCATTAATTTGTTGCGACTGATAGCGGGCGAACAGTGCGTATGCGCAATGCATAAATTCATGACTTCCATCCTGGCCTACTTAAGGCTACAGGAAATGTCTGATTCTTAAACGCAGGATAAACGGACGTATAGTAAAGTTTATTATTTGGTGTAAGTAATGCTAATATAAGTGTAGGAACTTCTACTTCACAGTTGAATTTTTCTCTGTACTTCATTTTGTACATGCAATTATTTTTGCCTTACCGAGGAGATCAATGCCCAAGTAAGTCGGCATTGTTTTTCCCCAGGACGATGACGTTGATTTCTGCCTCGCCTGAGTCCTAATCTCTCGATTGCATGACAAGTGTACATAACTTTATTCAATCAAATGTGCAAATAGCGCATATTGCAAACAGAAATAGTCGAAATGGGCAGACAATATGCGGCATAGACAATCCGATAAGAAGCGACTGAGACTCGCGATTCGTGTTCATTAGTTATTGTCGTTATTGAGCGCTGTTGATAAACATGGCTTGATTGTTTGATTGATTGGCGACCGGCTGAACTGCTGAATTGCTGCCAACTGCCAACTGGCAACTGGCCATGGCCAAGGACAAAGGAGTTTCATTTAAAAACAATTACCAATTCGGTTGAATAACTCGTTGCGCGCCGATATTTTTCTTTACCACTGGTCCGTGTCAAAGGTGTCGTTCATCCACGATGGAAAAGCGTGAGGGAAAACTGAGAAGGGTCGGGAAAAGCCGAGGGGGGGTTCTCAAAATTGATTGCTTTATTGCAGCACGGCGAGGAGATAGAAAGGAAGAGATGAAAGTGGTGCAAAATTGATGGAATGCACTGCAAGTTGTGATAAGGATTTTTTGGCGCTCAACTTGGAAACTTAGCTGGGAACTTTTTCAGCTGCCAGAGAGATTAGAAGAGCTCCTCCTCAATCATCTCTCTCTCTCTATCTATCTCTCTCTCTCCTGGGTGGTCCTTTTCAAACCTCTATCATTCATGATTTTCCAGCTTTCGCTTGTTTGCATTGCCAAGTCGAATGAAAATGTCAAAAAGTGTAGCATACTCTGCGACTGCCAAGCTAACAGCATTTGCCAAATGAAATTTACATGACATGGCCAAAAAGTGAGTGGGGTGGTCGTCTAAACCTGAAAGGGTTGCCATTTTCCCGCCTGGACACCCAGCTCAAGTCCCCGCCGGCAATCAAAAGTGCGCCACATAATTAAGTGTACATCAGAGATTAGCCACCGCCATCAACAAAAGCAAGAAGGCCGCTGTCCCGCGGGGAAATTGTCCTGGTTTCTTCGTCCTGGCTTCCGCTCCTGGTGTTCCATCTTCATCGTCCTCGCAATTCCTGCCAAACGGCACTCTTTGAGCGCATACTTAAACAGACATTGGCAATGACATGACCTACAACTGTTCCGGGGAACCGCTTTAATGTCTCTCTCATGGCTGCCGGCTAAAAGCCGAGGCGCTTCATTAATTTTATTGCCGCCCCCCTTCCCGCTTTCCCCTCTTTTCCCCCACTCATTTTGAAGGATCTACACTTACAATTCCATTGCCTTTTTGCCTAGGCCGCCTGTTGTCTTTGCTTTGAAGTTCCTCGGCTGCGGCAAAAGTTTTGATTGTCTAGCCACACACTCACATGCCACAAACATGCAGCACGGAGAATAAATCATATATCAAATTTACTACTTTATAACTTTATGCTAAATTAATTGCTAAAATTCGCTTTAAATATTTTCTAAATTTTCCTTTATTTCGTTTTTTATAAGCATAGAATATTTAATAATATCGTATTAAAAGTTCATTAATAAGATTACCTAAAAGCAATGCCAGTTGAAATCAGAAATCAATACGAAGTGAAGTATGCATTTATGTCATTTATCATGACAAATATTTGACAAATCTGAAATTTTTTCTTCAGTGCACATGTGTGTAACATACCGGTAAGGGTGTGTTCGGGCCAAGTCAAGTGGTTAAACGCAAAACTTTTTTAATTAGAGTTGTTTGCGGGCAGCGCATTGTGCACACAATTTCTTTTCGATCGTCTTGGGCGAATAGTTTTGCTCCAGAGTCCGAAAATTTGATGCCGCGGGAGCGAGATGCCCATAAAATCGACGGCATTTTCCGCGCGAGCCAAATAAAATTCATGAGCCCTTGTAATAAAAATGTCACAGCAATGCAGGCAACAAAAGGCGGCCATCAAGTGGGCGGGGCATTTTTGGGTGTTTGTGGAAAACGATGGCTTTTCCAAAGGGAGCAGCTGTCAGCGCCGTAGCTCGACAATCACAATGGCTTCCCTTGGAAAATTAAAGGAGCGCGTCGGCGGGGAACGCATAAATTTCGCAGACATCTTTTGTGCCCGAGCGAGCACCCGAAAATTCAAATTCAAATTTTCACAGCAGTTTGCATTTATTTAATTTTACTATTATCAGAATAAAAAGGCTTTGCGCCTGATTAGAGCTTGCCGCGCGCCAAAATGTGTTTGCCCAAATTAAATGAAAATTAAATGACGCCCGGACGGCGCTTTTGAGCAAACCTTCATTGACACAACGTGCAAATCTAATTTGGATTTTGTCCCCAACCCAGCGGCTCCTCTCATCTTTTTTATAATAATGAGAATGCTTCAGACCCTTGATGGGTGTCCAAGTACGGCAACACACACCCAAACACACCCACTCACAACAGCACTTCCTGCCACCCTAGGCCGTCAAATATCCGCAGGATGTGTCGTTGCTCCCGATTCGGCACGGAGAAAATACAAATCATACGTATCCTTGCCAAAAATAATACAAATTTTTTACTTCTTTATTTATAAACTTGTACAACTATGCAAAAAATGCGCATATAATGCCTCGTACATAAAAATAGTAACAAAACGTTTTTCATCATAGCCAATTTAAAATTATGTAGTCCCTGCGGTTGAATAAATTCTTGTATTGCTCTTTCAATTTGGTTCACTGTCATTTGTGAATTTTTTAATACAATGATGCATTATTATTTTTCGCTGTGTTGTCGACCGTCAATGCGATTTCGTCAACGCAATCAGCCGGAGAAACATCAGCGAAACAGCATCGCGACGCCGGCGTAAAACATTTTCCTGTTGTTTCTGCCAATTTTGCGGCTGATGCTCTTTTTCCGTCCGCATTCGCCCACTTTTTCATCCTTCACAATTTCCCAGCGATGTCTGGCTTAAACATTCCGCACTCAATATACAGTTTGCATTATACAGCATAGATGCCCATATCGCTGCTTTGCGTATCAATGAAAAACGCCGTCTTTATTGCACATTTTCCAGTGCGTACAACGTGGCGTATACGCATTATGTAGCATACAGCGTTCAGCAGATGGCCGTGGAATAGCTCCACGGAGACTTTTGTTATGGGTTATGTGTAATCAGCTACGTCCATTTTAAATTTGATTTTTGGTAAAAATGATTATCGTTTTTATAGCACCAATGCTATTACTTGAGCTTGAAAATGGGAAAGAAGTGTGAAATTCAGCTATGATTTTGCGCCACTGTGCACCATTCAAGACAAACATTTCTTTTAAGGCTCTGTCGTTTCGTGAGCTTCGACCGCTTTTCGTATTTCGGTCAGGTCACATTTATGTTGTATACATTAATTATGGCTATTTACTTTGTCCGCTTCGGCTCATGCCACTGCCAATTATGTGCACGAAATTGCTTATTATTGGATGCATAAACAGTCCTACTCATACACATTCCTATATGAATATATATATGAATATGTATATAAATGAATATATATTTATACAAAGGCATAAAGACGAGTGTATGAAGGCGCCGAAACGGCAGGTTAAATGGTGGTCAAAGGGCCCATTCATTTCTGGCCTAAAAGGCCCATCAGCCACCTATTCTAACAAGAAAAACGAGGAAAACGTTTTGTGTAAACAAAAATATGTCATGTTTACTCAGTGAGCAGTCCAAGTAAAACTTGTATTTGGCTTTTTCTTTTTTGTTTTTCTGCGTCTTTGCCGTTTTGTTTTTATTTATATTTTTACTACTGTGCTACTTTTTGGCAGTTGTTGTCATTTGTGTATGGTCCAGAATGATGGATGTTATTATAATGTCGACGAGTGGGCTTAGCAGGCGCCTGATGTCCTGAGTGGTCTGACCCAAAAAATCATTTTCAGTGACAGCTGAGGAGACCAATGGCCACAGAGCCCTGTAAGCTGCTTAAAAGTTAAAACAATTTAATAAAAATTAATGCCCACTGCACAGCAATGTGCAAATGCGGAGCAGAACTGCGCTTTTCATTAAGTATTTACCAACTAAAAAGTGCTGTTTTCATTTTTCTTCCCCTGGTAATTATACTAATTGGTATCATGGCACGGCGGGTGAAAAAGCTGAGCTGCAAGCATAATGCGATAATTTATATTCCCGGCCGGCGGAATCCTTTAAGCCACATGCCAGATGGCCACTACTCGCTTGCTCCTTTGCATTTGGTTATGCCAAAGAGAGATAAGTCCCGACTTAATTTGATTAAAACAAGATAGGGATTATCGTGGCAATAATACGTGAATAGTAAGCGTTGGGCCGCTGTTCATTCGACTAAATGTTTGCATTCCTCCTGCAGGTTAAATGCTAGCTAAATTCAAATTAAATGGAGTCAAGGGGTAACTACATCTTACAAGCCATGATAAGTTTCTTAAAGAATCTAATATTAAACAAACATAACACAGTACTTAAATTGAACTGCAGTCAAAGATTTATTACATCTTCAAAATGTTGGGCCGCATTTAAGAATCCAATTCTAAATTCATCGGGCAGCCTTCGAGTGGTTGCAGTAGTATCGGAAGAAGAATCAGTATCATCAAGTTCGTTAGCTTGTGACCAATCCAAAAAGCAGAAAAGCATCAGGATAATGCAGAAGTGACAGAAAATGACGATCACGGCAAAGAGTCCATCGGTGGCATATAGTTCTGCATACCGCCAACCTCGGATTAGTTGAGCATGGTATATGGTAAACTGGGTAGCAAATCATTAGGAGAGCTACCAAATTCAACAAATTTTACTTTACCATGCACACAATACCCAAAACCAATGCAGCAAAGGAGATGAAAAATCCATTGCCTGAATCAATCATCATGAAGATCATAAGTAGATATATGCTATATAGAAATATCGGAACGCCGACTATGAACAACATAGCCACATTAGCAGTTAGGTCGCAGGGAATAAAGGATCCAATTAGCACAAAGACGATCACCAGAATTGCAGTTATGGTAAAGTAAATCAAAAAGCTGAGTGCATGACAGTAAGCAGCCAAGGTACAAAGACCAATTACCATTAGCTCTATCTGTAATCTGAAATATGGGCTACTTTCTGAGCAAAATACTGCTGGAATATACCTACAATGAAGCACATTAGCAACCATCCAAGAATTGGTAAATATCGAATTTGCTGTATAAGCAGGAATGTGGCCAAAAGTGGAACTGAGATCCCCATGCATGATACGCTAATCCAGTACTTGGCCAAAAAGAGATCTGTCAATGGTTTACTAGCGGTGAAATACCGTTTAATGTAGCAATTAAATACAGATTCTAAACACTCACTAGTATGACACAAGTTCCCATTGAACCAAGGCAAGCAGTAGTATTACTACGACTAGAAGATACACCAAAACTATATATCTGCATCTGGAGGATCTCTGACTTTCATAGGGCTCAGAACGCAGCATAGTGGGGCGCGGCAAATTGGCAGGACGAGGTGGAACTGGAGGTGGTTTATTAGACGACGCCATCTTGCGAATGGGAATTAAAACCCCAAAAGGATATTTAGAGCGGAGAAAATGAGTTAAAACACAAAAATCACAAAAGAAACCTGACACGCAAAGCAGTTGTTGCTGCAGCTTACAGCTCACCTAACTGCCACATGCGGTTTAAACATCTGGCATCTACAGGGGTAGTATCTGAAGGATTTCATTCTTTTTCTTCTCATAACAATACCCCTAACTTCCGCGGATAACACACTCCGAGGGAATTTGCAACCGTATCCAAATCAAATGACTACAGCGGCAACACATGACAGCCAAAGGGGAGTTCTTTGTGTTTTTTTTTGGGGATGGGAATCCTTGTTGTACTCTGCTTGAATAGATTTCCCGAATGATAGATGGCTCGATTTTCAATGGTTAAGTCTTCAGGATTAAGGCGCAGGTTGATTTATCTGCTCATCTTCAAAGCTGATTTAAGTATATTTTTATCGCTGTTTTGTGAGTGCTCAACAATTTGCTACGCCCGTAAATGAAGCTCATTTTCAAGTATCTTAAGTTACTGAGTATTTTTCCATGAAATTTCCTTTTTAAATGAGTCAATTTTTTAAAGGATTCCTCTTACCTTTTTGGTGGATAAAGCTGAGGTTTTTCATGGCCAGAAAAATACTTCTCAGAATTCTCATGCTCTGCATTTTATATGTGCTTTCTGATGTTTTCGTATAAATCCATTCAATCCACAATCAACAAGAATATAATGAGTATACGGCCTCGAAGGGTTTAAGCCAAGAAAGCCGAAAAAACGGGGACAGATGTGAGATCCCATAAATTCGTTCCAGTAAACATTTTGAATTGTTGAAAAGATTTGTTCAAAAACAAGATGGGCAAATACAAACTCCCACACATTGAGACCTCCTACATACATATACATATATATACATAAATATATATTTATTTATATACCCAGAACCAGAGCGGCTGCAAAGTTTGGCCAAAGTGCTAAAAGATGTGTGAAAGGCTGCGAAAGGCTGCGACGGAAGTGAAAGGCGGAATGGGGGTGAAAGGTTAGGGAAAGCGCCTCAAATTACTTTCTTTGTGGGCGGGGTGGGCGTGTGGGCGCAGCTGTTGATGCCGCCTGGATCTTGAGCATTTCTTTTAATTTGGAGTTGCGTGATGCTGATTCCTGAGCTGCGATATCAGCCCTCGTCCCTTACAGGACTTTGACATCAAGGCATCCACCCATTTACCACTCAATTAGCACGCTGAGGATCCCAGCTCACTAATTTATTAATGGGCAATGTCAAAATTGTGCTGCCTTGGAATGACTTTGAAAAATTGCCTAGCCTAGAGTGTGTATGTTTTCTTCGGTTTAATGGCCCTATGTTACTTTTTTTCACTCAAGGCACGAACAAAACAATTTAGATAAGCAATATGCAAAGCATGTGAGCCTACTGCCGCACAAATGTACATATATGTTTTTTGCTGGGCTGGTTGAATTTCGAACTGTCGGTGTGGCAGCTAAATCAGCAAAGATTTACATTGAAATTCTGCTTCACTTAGCTCTACAGGAGCCACATGACAGGCGTTTAAAATTCAAGTAGCAACTATAAAAGTGAAGACAAAAGCCAAGCCACCGATGCACTTAAGTGGCAGACCATAAAATTTTTGGATCTCCTCGAGTGGGTAATGTAGTTGTGCTGGTCGCCCAAGTCCCCAAAAGACTTTTATGGGGCAGTTTTGGGCGTCTTGCCATTAAGTATACGCCCTGTATATTGTGCCCGCAGGTGTCCGGCCAACAAATCAAATAGGCAGCAACAATAAAATCAAATAAAAAAGAAATAGCAAATCGAATAAAATAGTCCCCAAATTGCATTAGAAGAAATCACACAATATAATGGCGCCGCGATAACAATGTCCTGTCGACAAATTTTGGGCTCACCTGAATGGACATCAACTAAATTGGTTGTCCTTTGCAATTATTTTGTGTGTGTCTATGTTACGCTATCACCTTGGTCGAGTATTTCCGGTCGGCATAAAAATAAACACACAAGAGCACTTGCACTCACACACGAGAGATGTCGTTGTCCTCCAGGATGCGAGATTGTTGTGGCTTTCGCGTAAAAGGACACGGCTTTATGAATGAACAAACGGTTTCCGAACACCCGCCTCAATATAATATATCTTTTCTGTTCCGTGGCCAAAACCCGTCCGACTCGCAGGCCGACGAGTGATTATCTGAAGCGTATGGCAGTCGTGGCCAGGAAATTACTGTGAAATTCAATTGCCAACTCCGGCGACCTGCGCACTCGCTTAACAGCAGAAGAGAGCGCACCTAACAGAGTCGTGGAGAGCCGAAGAGAGCGGAAGAGAGATCCAGATTATGTAGGTTGACAAGAAGTTAAACAAACAAAACAAAAGTCAAGCTGTATCATAAATATAATGAAAAGTTTTTGCCAGCAACAAGCGGGTGTACGGCTCATCTCCTCCCCCAATAGATACTTTATCCAACTTGAGTGTCAACACCACAGCACACACAAAATAATCTTCTGTATCTTTTGCGTTTAACTAAAAAAGTGCCAAAGTCATTTTGAACAGAAATCTGAAATCGTTCATTAAAGAAACTTACCTACTGTAAATAGAAATCTCGAAAATGCCTTTAAAGATGTCTTAAAGTGTGCTACAAAATTTTCGATCCAAAGTAACTTGTTACCTTTCATTGCATTATTTGTGACATCTACACTTGGGGGGATGTATCTGTAAGATCTAAATTTCTTGCTGTGCAGTCGTGGGTACACATAATTAAGAAATCGTGCTTACGCCACACACTTTGATTCAGTTGAGTGGCGAGTTGAGGATTTGAATGTCTTTGGCATGGCAAATAAGCTGTTGACTTTGTAATCATTTCAGCATGTTTATCAAGTCGCTTATTGAGTGGGCCACAAAAAGGGAGGTGGGAGGACATCCTGATTAGCGACAATTGCGCGCTTGCTATTTTAGCTGTTTCTGCCACCAAGAACGCGTCTAAGCCGCGGCAATTATGAAAATAAGCCAGTTCCTTTGCGCCTGAATCGCTAATGGTAAATGGCAAATGGCAAATGCCACGGACTACTAACGCCGCCTCATTACCTCTAAAGTGGGCTCAACTGATGTTTTTGTTTCTGTTTGTTTTTATTTTTGCGCGGTCTGCCGCGTATCCTTTGCGGCTTGCGGCTCTGATTCACGATTCCACAGGACTCACGACATCGTGGGGAATCCCCTGCTGTGGGGCGATTGCCTGTGCTCAGGTGAGGAAATTAAAAGTTAACTGCCACAGGAGGACATTGGATGAGCAGTGTGGTGTGCACATCATGTGCTTACTTCGGGCTTTAATTTGTTTGAAAAAATATACTTGAAATTCCTGCTACTGGAAAACATTTTTCGTTAGCCATTTGATGAATGTTTTCATTTTAATTTTGGCTATTTCTCCGTAAATCTCCCATTTATATCAAAACACCAATATAAACACTGCTCGTTCAACTCAATTTATATCACAAATTAATAATGGGAAAACGGAAAGTAAATAAATATGCCAAAATGGAAATAAATAACAATTTGCATAGCAATGCGAGGAAAGCAATATTTGCCATTCTGATTTAAGAGCCAAAATCGGAGTTTAAACGTTTAGTGCGATTTTATAAATGCATTTATATGAATTATTTGCGGCTTTTACCACACTTTGATGACTTTTGCAGGCCTTTTTATTTGCCATCCTATTACCACTCGGTAAAGATTTAATTTAGTATGTCAGTGAATCAAGTATGCAGTATCTCAGGTATTTGAGAGTCTGAAAGGCAGAAAAATTTATGTGGCAGATAAAAAGTATCTCCTGCCAAGTGGCACGCTCCACTGCCTCCGCAGGGAACAAACTTATCGCTGCGGTTGCCGCACCCTTGGCGAATCAGTTTCGCTATCAATAAGTAAGCAATAATCAGCAGAGTGGTTGAGAGTGAATACCCACCTGAACCAGCCACACTTCTGCCGCCCCGCAATGTGTGAATGCAAGTCAATGAATGTGATTGTTTGCCGGGAAGTGCAAAGTGTTGAAAGGACTCACGCAGAATGGCAGTCAGGCAGGAGCCAGGAGCCAGGAGCCAGGCGCCAGGCGCCAGGAGCCCACAGTAATGCATTGCCGCAGAGTGGCATTCAATTGCCGGGCGGCAGACAAGTGAATCAGCAGCCGGGCGGACAAACAAACAAGCAAATTCAGTGTAACGACCACAAGCCCGGCTTGATAGCATCACTTGACAAGTCAATGAGACGGCTCCTGAATGGAAGTCAAGCGGCACCAGAATGCAGAGCAGCACTCGTACATGGTCACAGATATCCAGTAGCCAAAGACCACTGTATCGGTAACAATGCCATTGCGATCACATTTGTTCAGTGTGGCCGACGTTCCGAGGACATCAGCAGTGTTTTCCATTTCATTTACGACATACCGCTTGCCATTTCACAGTAAAATATTAAAAGAACACTACTTATCACTCCACTACCAGGTATTAGTTACAAAACCCGATCATAAGCTAATTAGATGCAAATAAAAAACGTTGGCTTAAAATTAATCTGTTTGAAACCACTAGAAAGTAAGCCGCAAAGCACACACCTTCCACTTAAGCGAGAAAATCTCGAAAATCCCTAGCCAAAGCCCGTAAAACGTTTTGTAATCTAATTAATGGCCCTGCAGCAGATAATGGGCAAGTGTATTCATAATCCCAGGCAATTTCGCATTCATTAAAAGCCAATAAAAGTGAAAATTATAACGCACATCTACCCAGGATCAACTCGCTCCGCTTTCTTGCCAGGTGAATGGGCGCCCACTTCATTAACAGTCCGTAGTCCGTAGTCCGCGTGGGTGGGCTGCTGTGTTGCTGGGTTGCTGGGTTGCGGGTAATGGAAGCTAATGAAATAACAATTAATTGAAAAAAGAATGCCAGTGTGTATGTACACAGTACACGGCAGATGACCGGCCATCAGCAGCCGACACACTTTCATGGCCATGGGCAAATACAATTTGTTTTAATTAATTGGAAGCCACAACCGCAGAGCCGGCCAGCCGAACCTGATTTAGACGAATTGCCAACAGTTCAGCCGGGCATTTTGGCTGGCCCAGCCAGCAGCGACTTAATGTCTGACTTGGCAGCCCAAATCCCACGGACAACATCGGTTGCCACCGGATTCCGGAGCCTCCGGCCGTGAACGGCAATCAAGCGTGAAATGATTGGCAGTCGGGAGTTGAAATGCAGCCCCATCAGATATTCCCACATGTGTCGCACTACCCAACTATTAGCGTGCCCATCGATTAAAGTCGCCGCAATCCCAGGATGCCAAAGTGGCATAGCCCACGGGCTAAAGCTCAGAGTGTCGTCAACCAGACGATTTGAGGACGGAGATTGTACTGTAAGCATTATATCTGCCAGCTACTTTCGAACTCCGGACTTTGAGCATTTAAATATGCCAGCCAGTAATGGTAGGGTATGAAAGGGGCACCTTAGCTTGCTGCCTTGTCGGCTTAAGTATGGCAAAAGAAGCTTAGAACTTATGTAAGCTACAAGGGAGACTAAAAATATGCTACACAGTATTTCAAATTCAATGAATGCATTCTTACGTAGGACAGTTCTGTAATATTTGCCTGCATAAATAGTAATTTTGAATCGTCTTGTATCCATGCACCCAAAAGAGTCAATATTGTATCATAGAATAAGCTGTACACACTGCGTATTAGTGATATTCATAGGCACTCCCTGGCCTAGTCATTAAATACTGTTCCTTATACGTTTCCTCACCTGTCACAAGCAGTTAGGGTATCAATTAGTCAGGCTTAGTGCACACCCATTCGAAGCGTGCCTGCGGCAACCGAAAGTTGAACAAAAAACTTTGGCAAGCTAAGTTGCGCTTATGCTTATGTTTAGGCGAGTATGTAAATGTTGCCGGGGGGCATTCGTATCGGTGTCTGCGGTTTCCTTGTGTGTGTGTGACTGTGTGTGAGTGTGTGTGAGTGTCTCTTACGTCGTCTGTGTGGGTGCGGTAAATGCGGGTGAGTTGGTGTGTGAACCACAACATGTGTCGTCGGGCGTGAACAAAAGTGCTAAGAAAATTACATTTTGGCCACATGGAAGGGAGAAGTTCTCCGCCAGTGGCAAAGACCCGGCCTAATGCCTTAATACACTTAAATTCGCTGTAAATCGGGGGGCTTCTGTCTAATTTTCAGGTGGCGAGAAACCACTTGGCCCCAGGAATCACAAGTTACTTGATCCCCACAAGTAAGTCAGTGGGGTTTAAATGGAAATTTTTAAATAAACGAGCTGCCAGCCACACGAGAACGTATGTAACATGTGCAGTTAGAAAAACACGTTGGTAAAGGATGAAAACATAAAAAAATCTAGAGAAAAGATAACATATAAAAGTCAAAATAAAAGTTTACGTAGTGAATATAAACTAACAATTAGTTTTTTAAAAATTCGGTCAATTAAAGTTGATTATTGCCATTTTTCTGAGTGCCTATGTCCGGAATGAAAGCGACCCCTTCCGCTTTTTGTTCTCCTGGGTGCTACTGCTCATGTCCTTATGCAAAATTCACATCCACAACAATCGCCCCAAACTTTTTCTTTCCCGCATATACATTACGCTTTTGTTCCACTTACGGCGACGGAAAATGCAAAAAAAAATGAAAAGCATGAAAAACGCGCCAATATATCGCAGCGCGGAAATAATGCAATTTGTGTGTGAACTTTTTAACGCACTCGTAGTTTTTTATGCGCACTCACACTGCCAAACTTTCAAGTCGGAACTGGAAACTGGGAACTGGGAACTCGGAACGCGAGTTTCGCAAACATAAATATTTACGTACGAGAGCGGGGTTCGTCTTTCGATAGTTGGTTAAAACACGGGGAGCTTGGAAAGTCCTGCTCCACTCACGAACAGCAGGCAACTGAGGACTCGACTTCGATGTTGGCCAGCTAAAAGGACCTTTCGGCTGTTAGGACAACAGTGGCTCTTGGCCTGGCAAAGAACGTGGCTGTTACTTTATGTCTAATATTGAATTATTGAAATCAAATTTAGTGCTGCCATCCATATGTGTGTCACTAAGAAGGTATTATTAAATTTCCATGCATTGAAATTCTCGTGTAATTACATTGCAGCTGAACAAAAAACATGGCATACTTTGCAGCTGGCGCTGAAAATTAATATATGTACGAG